TGAGAGTTATTTAGTGGAGTCTTTCGGGCTTTCTATATATAGAATCATGTCATCTACAAATGTCATGTTACTCTTTCCTTCTTTTACTTGCCTAATTGCTGTGGCTAGGACTATGTTGAATAAAAGTGGTGAGAGTGGGCATCCTGTCTTATTCTTGATCTTAGAGGAAAAGCTTTCAGTTTTTCACCATTGAGTATGATGTTTGCTATGGGTTTGTCATATATGGCCTTTGTTATGTTGTGGTATGTCCTATCTATACTCACTTTGTTGAGTGTTTTTGTTATATATGGATGTTAAATTTTGTCAAATGCTTTTTCTGCATCTACTAAGATGATCATATGATTTTTACCCTTCATTTTGTTAATATGATGTATCACATTAATAGATTTTCAGTTTTTGAATCATCTTCACATCCCTGGAATAAATCCTGCTTGATCATGGTATATGATCTTTTTAATGTATTGTGTTCAGTTTGCTAATATATTGTTGAGGATTTTTGCATCTATGTTCATCAGGGATATTGGTCTGTAATTTTCTTTTCTTCTAGTGTCTTTGTCTGGTTTTAGCATCAGGGTAATTAATGCTGGCCTTGTAAAAGGAATTTGGCAATATTCTCCCCATTCTATTTTTTGGAAGAGGTTTTTTTTTTTTTTTTTTAGATTTTATTTATTTATTCCTAAGAGAGAGAAAGAGAGACAGAACAAGAAGCAGGCTCCCCGCTGAGCAGGGAGCCTGATGTGGGACTTGATCCCAGGACCATGGGATCATGAACCAAGCCAAAGGCAGACGCTTAACCATCTGAGCCACCCAGGCACCCTTGGAAGAGTTTGAGAAGGATTGATCCTAATTCTTTTAAAAATATTTAGTAGAAGTGTCCATCAACTGATAGATGGATAAAGATGTGGTATATGTATACAATGGAATATTACTCAGCTAGACGGGTGATGGGTATGGGGTATTAGGAGGGCACTTGTTATGATGAGCACTGGGTGTTATATGTAAGTGATGAATCACTAAATTCTACTCCTAAAATCAGTATTACACTATATGTCAACTAACTAGAATTTAAATAAAAATTTGGAGAGAAAATAAATAAATAAATAGAAATAAAAAATATTTGGTAGAAATTAACAGTGAAGCCATCAGTCTTGGGCTTTTGTTTGTTGGGAGGTTTTTGATTACTGATTCAATCTCCTTACTAGTAATTGGTTTATTCAGATTTTCTATTTCATGATCAGTATTTGTAGGTTGTCTGCTTCTAGGAATTTCTCCATTTCTTCTAGATTGTCCAATTTGTTGGTGTATGATTGTTTAGTCTCTTATGACCTTTTGTATTTCTGTGTTTTCAGTTGTAACATCTACTCTTTCATTTCTGGTTTTGTTTATTTGAGTCTTCTTCCTTTTTTTCTTGGTGAGTCCAGCTAAAGTTTTGTCTATTTTATTTTTTCAGAAAAACCCATCTCTTATTTTCATTGATCTTTTCTATTGTCTTTTTAGTCTCTATTTCATTTATTTCCATTCTGATTTTTGTTATTTCCTTCCTTCTACTAACTTTGGGCTTCATTTGTTGTTTTTCTAGTTCCTTGAGGTATAAAGTTATGTTGTTTGAGATCTTTTTTTTTCCCTCTTAATGTAGGCATTTATCACTTTGAGCTTCCCTCTTAGAACTGCTTTTGCTGCATCCCTTAAGTTTTGGTGTGTTGTATTTCCATTTTCATTTGTTTCAGGGTATTTTTAAAATTTCTTTGATTTCTTTGTTGACCAGTTGGCTGTTCAATAACAGGTTTAATCTCCTCATATTTGTGATTTTTCCAGCTTTCTTCTTGTAATTGATTTCAGGTTTCATACCATTGTGGGTGGAAAAGATGCTTAATATGTTTTCCACCTTAAACTTTTAAAGATGTGTTTTGTGGCCTAACATATGATTTATCCCAGAGAATGTTCCATGTGTACTGTTTCTTTTGGATGAAATGTTCTGGATATGTCTGTTAAGTCCATCTGGTCTAATGTGTCATTTAAGGCCAAATGTTTCCTTATTGATTTTCTGTCTTGATGATCTATCTATTGATGAAAGTGGGGGTATTAAAGTTCCCTAGTATTATTGTATTGCTATCTATTTCTCCCTTTAGGTCTGTTAATATTTGCTTTCTATATTTAGGTGTTCCTATGTTGGGTGCATAAATATTTACAAATGTTATATTTTGTTGTTAGATTGTTCCCTTTATTATTACATAATGTGTTTGTCTCCTATTACAGTCTTTGACTTAAAGTCTATTTTGTCTTATATAAATATAGCTATCCTAGCTTTCTTTTGGATTCCATTTTTATCTAACATTCTTTCCCATCTCTTTACTTGCAGTCCTGTGTATCCTTAAAGCTGAAGAGAGTCTCTTGTAGGTGACATATAGTTGGGTCTTGTTTTTGTTTTAAATCCATTTAGCCATTCAATGTCTTTCGATTGGAGTATTTAGTCCATTTACATTTAAAGTAAGTATTGATAGATTGGACTTTTCGCCACTTTTAAACTTGTTTTCTGGCTGCTTTGTAATTCTTTCATTTCTTTCTTCTTCTCTTGCTCTCTTCCTCTGTGATTTGATGATTTTCTGTAGTGTTATGCTCATATTCCCTTATGTTCTGTGTAACTACAATAGGCTTTTGCTTTGTGGTTACCATAAGGTTTACATAAAATAGCTTGTAACAGTTTATTTTAAGCTGATAACAACTTGAGTTCCACTGCTATGCTCTGTCCTTTTTCTTATTAGATTGTCTTTTTCTTTTCCTCTTCTTCTTTCTCCTCCTTTTCTTCTTAATCTTCTTTCATAAATTATTTGTTTTATGAGCATTCTTTTTTTTATTGTTCTTGCAAATTCTTCTGCTCTGTCATTGGTCTTTTAATTTTGTTTAGTGACCTTTTCACTGTATGAATATTTTAATGTAATCACATATGTTGTAGTCATTGTTAATTCTGCACCTGACCTTGATTTCTTAATTACAAAGGCATTCCCCAACCCAAGATTAGAAACACGAGCCCCTCTGTATATTTATAGTTCTATCTGATCAGATAACATGAGATGGGGAACACTAGATTTTGCTCTTATATAGAAAACCAGTGGTTTCAGCACATTTATTATGGTAAGACACATTAGGGGAGGGGCCTAAGACTGAAGAATTTTCTTAATCTTTTAAAATTGACATGGACACATTTTGTTATACAGTTGATCCTTGAACAAGGTGGGGGTTAGGAGCACCAATCCCCTGCACAGTCAAAATCCACATATAATTTTGACTCCCCCAAAACTTAACTATTGATAGCCTAATATTGACTGGAGGCCTTACTGATAACATAAACAGTTGATTAAGACATATTTTGTACGTTATATGTATTATATAAAGTAAGCTAGAGAGTAATAAACTAGAGAAAAGAAAATGTTAAGAAAATCATAAGGAAGACAAAATACACAGTACTGTACTATATTTATATATTTTAAATGCACATATAAGTGGACCTACACAGTTCAGACCTGTATTGTTCAAGGGTCAACTATATACAATCAGCTAAAAGTATCATAAAATATGGTTCTACACAGTGTAATGTTGTAATAGTGTAAGAAATATATATTTGGTCTTTGTTCCTGATTCCTGGCATAGAGCTTCTAATGTAATACAATAAATTAACATTTGGGTTTTGTCCCTGGTTCCATAAACAGTCTAGAGAGCTAAAGGTGAAAGGAACATCTTTTGTTATAATATTTGGTTTTTGTCCCCAGTTCCTGAAATAGCTCTGGAATGATAAAGGTGAAAGGATCATCTTTTGTCATTCATAACAAGCCCCTTTCAACTACACTGGAGTTTATGTTAATGAGGTGACTTTTGGAAAGCCCTTAAGGATGGGGTCTGTTTGCCAGGGGAGCCAGCCATGTGATTAGGGGGTTGAAACTTTCAGCCCCATCCCCTGACCTTTGGAGAGGGGAGAGGAGCTGGAGGCTGAGTTAATCAATGATTTAATCAATCATACCTATGTTGTGAAGACTCCATACAAACCCCAGGACTTGAAAGGATTTGGAGAGCTTCTGGGTTGGTGAATGCACAGAGGTGCTGGGAAGGTGATGCACCCAGGGAGGGCAAGGAAGCTCAGGCCCCCTCTCCCTTACCTTGCCCATGTATCTCTTCTATTTAGCTGCTTATCTCTTTTATTGCATTTTTTCATAATAAACTGGCAATGTAAATATCTTTCCCTGAGTTCCATGAGCTGATACAGCAAATTATTGAAGTTAAGGAAGGGAGGTTGTGGGAATCCCCAGTATGTAGCCAAGTCAGTCAGAAGTATAAGTGACACCCTGGGACTTGTGATTGGCATTTGAGTTGGGAACCAGTCTTATGGAATGATCCCTTAATCTGGGATCTGTGCTAACTCCTGGCAGTTAGTGTCAGAATTGAGTTAAATTGTAAGACACCCAGTCAGTATCTATTGAGACTTGAAGAATTGCTTGGTGTGTAAAACCTCATTCATTCAGTGTCAGAAGTGGTGTGAGTAGAGGAAACAGAAGTCTCCTTTACAGAGGTAAAGTTTGCTTTACTTCTGTAAAGGAAACTGTTTTGAATGGTACAATATGAGAGTTTTTACTGCTTATAATCCTTTTATCTATGTTGAAAAAACTTCCTGAAATTGTAATAAATATTTTCCCCGTACTTATTCAGCATAGATTTCCTTAAGTTTAAAATGATTTTCGCATTAGATACAACTGAATTTTGATTCTATAATAACACTCTTCCTTGTGGAATAGTGGATAAGAAGAAAATTTTACAGTTTGTTCTAAGAATAATTGTTGATATTTCTCAGCATTTGAGATGTATTATTATTTTCATGAATTTAGATGATTTAGATTAAATTTGTAGTAGTACACTGCAATACAAAATGCAATCTAAACATAGTCATACTTTTATTATAATTCTATCTGTATTACTTGTAACATACTCCTATTACAGTTATCAAAGATGAAGGTGACATGATAAATTTCTTCTTGCTTTGTTGCTGAGTCCAAAGCTGGTTTAAGTCTCATTTTTTTGATTATCTGGAAATCTGAAATAAATAAATTACAAGATTTAATTTTACATTGAGGCAGAAAGTAAAAACAGTCACTTGAAAGACATTTTGTTTTTTGTAATTTTCAGACATAGCTTAAAAGATGAAAAACACTTAACATTATGTGATATTTAAAAGTAAATCTGAGATTGTTTTTTAGATAGTGTTTCAGTATTATCAAGTACTAGATGAAATTATTCTTCTTGTGTTTGGAGAATCAGTTTATACTTAGACTCTTGCCTACTTTGTATGCAACAGAAACTTTTTACTTGATTTACCATACCTACTACGTTCTTCTTCCAAATTTTCTGGGACTTGACGTAAACTTTCCATTGTGGATTTTCTAGATTCTCCTACAGGAAAAAAGATGTAGAAATTTAATGGTTTATCACAAATGCAATTTACAGTTACATTGAGCTTGAACCTGGGAATCCCTTTTCAGGGATATCTACCCTTATCATCTGTATGATAGAAGTCTATGTATCACTTATGTCACCAAGGCAGATTATATTGGTCAAAGATGGACACAATATCTCCCACTTTACATGTTCCTCAACAGTATGAGCTTGTCACTCCTCCACCCAGAGGTGGAATCTAATTCACCTTCTGTTGAAACTGTGCTAGGCTTAGGACTCTTGTAATCATTAGAATGTGGAGAGTGTGGCTACATGATTTCTGAGGCGAGGTCAGAAAAGGCTGTGCAGCTTCTTACTGGTTTTCTTGGGGTGCTTGTTTTGGAGAGAGCAAGTCACCATATAATAATCCCAAACACCCTGCCATCCTGGAGAGGTCACATAGAAGATGCTCCAGTTGACAGTTCCAGCTGAGTCCAAAGTTCCAGCCATCCCTCTAAGGCTCCAGTCTGTGTGGGAAGCTGTCTTGGATCCTTCAAACTAGCCCATCTGTCAGCTGAGCACCACCACTGGGTGACCTCAACTGGTGTCTAGCCAAACCATGCTTGAATTCCTAACCCACAGAATTCTTGTGATACATAAAATGGTAACAGGAACAGCCACCTTTTGGGGGATAAAATGATTTGTTAAAGCAATACTTGGAAGGAAAATTAATTTAGAGAGCAATATAAAGTGTCCAAATAATTAAATCAGATATGGGAAGTTTATACATATAAATAGGCATGTTAATTTTGTACTTAACTTTTGTATCTGTCCTTTAATTTTTGAGTTGAATCCACTGGGATTAATCTAATAATATGCTCTTTATTCTTGCTTATCACAGGCCTCGGTCTCCAGATCCCCCTTCATTTCCTGTATTTTATTTTCTATAAGGCTCTGTATTTCGTCCCCATCTCCTACCACAAGTCCTGAAACATTTCCACTGTACCCTTATTCCATTTTCCGAAATTCCCATTACTTTCTTGCTCTAACAGAAACGTGGCTGTCCTCAGAGGTAACTGCCAACCCAGCAGCCTTTTTTGTTTTTCTTTTTCTCAGTTTTGCTACCATTGGGACTGGAGATTATACTCTACTGTTCCCTTTCAGGACATTCACTTTTTTTCCTTCCCTTCCTGAAACTCAGTCATCAGTTTATATAATCAACTATTGTGATTTACCTACAACTGGGATCATTCTCAGTTGATTTTATCATTGGTTCATTGTACCTTACTACTACTTTCTTAATTTAGCAATTTAAATTTACATGCAGAAGATTCTTCACCCTGGATCTCAATTCCTTGAGCTCTGTTCTTCTAGATCTTGTCCCACACCCTACAGCAACTATTGATTCCCATGGATATACTTAGACCTTGCCATTAGCAATAACTTCAAGCCCCGCTCAAATTCAGTTGCCAACATTCAACTACTTGACTTCTAGCTTTATCTTTCTAGATCACTCCTTCTAGTACCCCAACATCAGCAATTCATCTACTTCCCTGGGACTTCCAGTCCTGCCACATTTTTATTGTTCCTCCCCATTTTGGTCCCTTCTCTCCCTTCTTTATTTAACTTAAATTCTATGGCCATTCTCCCCCTTGCATATAGCCTGACCTCATTACCCTTTTCCCACTTCGTCATACTCACTCGACAAAACTATAACCCTAGATAAATCCAACTGTCTCCTTATTCCTATCCTGTACTATATACCTCAATGTGACTGGAAAAAAAAATGTGTAACCAGGCCTCACTTTAAATTCATAGCCATAGACATTAGGTGGCCTTTTAATGCTTTCAGGCCATCCTATTAAACACTGCTGGTCCATTCATTCTTCTCCTCTCCTAGGTGGCTATTTAGCTTTTTCTTCTATTTTTCCCAAAATTCTAACCCTGCCCATGGATCATTGTTTTCAGCTGATGATGTATTTCTGGTTTCATGGAGGAAATAAAAGACAATAGGAAAAACTTCCACATGCTCTGTGTTAACAGTTACTTACCTACTTGTTTTTGTTCTATATGCTCTATCTTACCTATGTTCTCATCTAAGGCTAACCCCAGACTTCACCACTTCTTGCCCACTCAAGACATGGCTCCAGTAATTCCTTCTGCCTCCCACTTATCAGAGTTGTTTTTTCCCCCCTCTTTATTAGATCTTCTTATCAGCAAATAAATATTTAGTTGAAGCCACACGACTAAATTCTCACCAGTGAATGTAAACGAAGTAATATATACTGCTTTTGGGTCTGAGTGTTAGACACTGGGCATTGATTCCTCCTTAAATTTTCCCTTTTCCTCAATCTTGGACAATAGAGCCATTACCCCATGATTCAGTTTCTAACATGCAGATGATGACAACACCCTAGGCCAGTGGTTCTCAGCTGGCACTGATTTTGCCCCACAGGTGGCTTTTGGAAATGTCTGGAGACATTTGGTTGTCACAACTTGTAGGTGGAAATATTACTGGCATCCATGGGGTAGAGACCAGGGATGCTGCTACATACCCTACAACGACCATGACAACCATACCCCAGCCCCCTCACCAACAAGAAAATCATCCAGCTCAAAATTTCAATAGTGCAAGATTGAGAAACCCTGCTCCAGGGGATGGTGGAGCAACAGAATGGAAGATCATGGTCCCCTAAATGCCTGTGGAACTACCTTGTGTATGTAGACTGCTCACTTCAAGGTTAAGGAAGAAACAAATTTGTATATTCTTTAGCTACTGTACCTTGGGGACTCTTTGTAACGGGAGCTTAGCCTTTACCTTAACTAACACCATTCTTTTAGGTAAGGAACTACCTTGGATTTCTCAGTTTAGTATTTGTCATTGTATGACAATATATAGAACATCTTAACATCCTAATACCAATTTTGTACTATCTAATGTCTTAAACTCAGCATTCCCTTTGGTTTGGCAGGATGTAACAATATCTTTTAAGCTGGGGAAATCTTTTCTGGATTTTCCAAGTTTAAAATTATGCCTGGTTTGTCTCAAATAACTGTTTTGCATTCATTCCCCAGATGTTGAGGAAAGACGATTTTTATTGGGAGTATTTCCCAAGTAGATTCTTTGAGAATAGCTTATCTTTAGCTATTCTTTTACTCAACTTAGGCCACAATTGCTGGTTTAAATAAAAGACATTCACACGCTCTCTGTGCTAGGAAGCCTTAGCAGTGATTAATTTATATAGGGGAACACCTGAACTCATGTTCAGGTGTTCTGATACTTCTATTCATTTGCAACAAGATGAAACAGGATTGTTTGTTCTTGGTTACATTGTTGCAAAAGCACTCATTTTGATTCCTAACCTAGGTTTTGCACTGTGGGTTTGACTTAGAATATGATTTGTGATGTTTGATCTGTAGGACTTCAAGGAAGCTGGAAAATTAGGACCATTACCACTCCAACAAGGAGACCAGAACCACTACAAAGTGGAGAGTATGATATTTGCTTATACTGTCTACCATTTCAGTAGAAACAGGCACTTCTCTGTTGCTAATAGTAGACTCTCAAATGCTAGATTCCCTCAGGTGGGCAACAACAGGATCTTATTTATACCACCACTTAGCCTATACTGTACCAAAGAGCAATAGAATAAGACAGCAAATGCTGAATTGCAATCAATCTAACATCCCACCCCTTCCCTTGAAAACAATGGCATATAATTCTCATATAATACAGTGCTTTATGCAAATGTAATTTTAAAAATGCTATTGGTAGAGGAATGTGAATTAAAATGGAGGAAACACTGACTAGTAGTTTTGAGAATGAGAAGGTAAATGAGTTTTTATAATTTTGGCATGCAAAACATTTTTAGTGGCCTTATGCTAGAAAAGGGTAAATAATAACTCATACATAAAGGTTGTGTCAGAGTTTATAGACTAGACCCCTCGTAATGGATTCAACCTTTCCACAACAAATCAAAAGTATTGTTGTCTGCTCACATGAATATACAGTAGTCATTACCTTAAATTTAAAACTCACTATAAGCAGCAAGCCCATAGAGCAAGATATGAAGGCTGTATTGTATCAGTGTGGTCTGCAGAGAATTTCTTCCTATGGTTTTTGCCTTGTTGAAATATATGTTGCAGTTCAAAGCTAAAGGGATTACTTCTGAATAGTCATCACAGAAGTTGATTATGTTCGTATATCATATTTAGCTGGACCCTGCAGGCTATTATTACATTAGCTATGCTGGTCCTGCTATTGTCAAAAATTTGATCACCTAATGTTAAAAGATTGTGCTTTCTGTTGACCTTATCAAAATGACTCAAAAGGTTTTGTTAAAAAATAAAACTCAGATTGTGTTTTATGGAAGTGATTAAGAATAAATACTATGTATAAAAATGCTCATATCTTATGGGTGATCTTAGCATTATACCATTATTAATGATAAAATTATATTTTGCTTTAGTATTTCAGCATACTTTACCTAAAATCATAGGTTTAACTTTAGTAGAAATAGTTCTTTCTTATTGATAGTAGAGAGTGTCAGAAACTGATTTCTGAAAAAAATCTGTCTCCCTCCCTCCCTGTATTCAAATCATATAAAATTAAAACCATGGAAGTAAGCTCAGTATAGCAGTATTTATACAATAGTACATTTACAATGGCCTAGTTACAACGTGGTTTTTAAAAAGAGAACAGTACTGAGGAGAGAAGTGTTTTGTTTGGAGGAAATATGTAGAGAAATGGAAAGTTTGTCATTCACACTTGATAGAAAATCACTTCAAGGGGCACCTGGGTGGCTCAGTCGGTTGAGCATCCAACTCTTGATTTCAGCTCAGGTCATGATCTCAGGGTCTTGAGATCGAGCCCCACATTGGGCTCCACACTGGGCATGGAACTTGCTTAACATTCTCTCTCTCCCTCTCCCTCTGCCTCACTCCTCTGGCTTGCATAAGCACATTCTCTCTCTCTCAAAAAAAGAAAAAAGAAAATCACTTCAAATAATATATATATA